AGGGGCAGGCTGTGGGCCTGGGCCTGGGCCCGGGCCCGGGCCCGGGTCTCGGTCTCGGTCTCGGTCTCGGTCTCGGCTTGTGGCGCTGTTCTGCTGGCTGGGGACAAGACACGCTACTGACCCTCCCCAGTGCTGCCGGGTTCCACCACCCCAGTGGCTCCTGGGGGACAGACTGTCGCTGCTTGGCTCTTGTGGCCCAGAGGGACCCGCTTCTCATACCAGACAGTAGGGCAGCACCTGTCCCTCGCCCTGTCCCTGTGGCACCCAACTCTTTGTAGTCACTGGGCGGCTCTGCCTACGCAGCCTCCTCATAACTCACCTGTTGGAGGACCTTCTAGGTGTGTCCCTTCACGCAGACGTCCCAGAGTGTGCCCCAAGTTCTCCTCAGCAAAAGCTTCAGGTGCAATGGATGTGATCCTCTTCCCCTTGTTTGTGTTACCATTTTCCTGCTGTGTCATTCAGGCGGGCAATATTGCCCAAACATCGCTGGAGGGGCAAACACAGACACACACACAAAGGTTTATATGAAAAGGGACCTCTGGAGGTCTCTGATCCAAACCCCTGCTCAACAAGCAGGACTCCAAAGCTGGATCAGGTTGCTCAGGGCATTGCCCGGGCAATTGCTGTACGTTTTCATGGGTGGAGAGCTCCCAGCCTCCCTGAGCCTCTGCTGAATCATGCTTTGGGGGAAGTATTTTTGCCCAGTTATACTCTGAATTGCCTCTGTTGCAAGTTATGCCCATTGCCTCTTGTCCTGGGAAGGGTCTGACTCCATCCTCTTTATAACCACCAGTTATAAAGGCAGTAGCATCTGTTAGATCCCATTCCTTGTCAAATCTGACTGGAAGAGGGACTGACCAGCAACATGCCCACATAGACCTCATTTACCTAGGAGACCAGGCTAAAAAACCTTGCCTCCCCTTGCCCTTCTCTTTTCCAGTCTAAACAAATCCAGATTCCTCAGTATCGATGCTCTAGTCACCTATCCAGTGGTCCTCCACTGGGCTCTTCACAGTTTGTTCACACCTCTCTTGTGCTGGGGAGTCCATAATGGACACAGTGTACCAAATACAACTTTATCTGTGCCATACAGAGGGAAATAATCACTCCTCTCCACCCGTTGACTATGCTGTCATTCGTGTCACCTGGTGTGCTGTTAGCTTTTATTGCTACAACGGTGCATCATGGGCTGGTGTGCCAGAATCGCCAGGATCTTTTCTGCTGAGCTGCTCCTTAGCCCGTTGTCTCCCAGCCTGTGCTGGAGCATAGGATTACTCCGCCTCAGGTGCAGCTCTGACCATGAGGTTACGGTGTGGCTCTGGGGTGGGCTCGTCTGCTGGGAA